GCCCTTGGCCGGAGAATCTTTCCTTGTCTGTGATTGTGCCTTGGTTTCAAGGTTAAGGACAAGGGACAAGAGCCCAGTGCAAGGTTTCCATTTGCAAAAGATTGCTGACACGAAGTTATGTAGTCCTGGGAGAGATGAGAGCTATTTGTGTTCAAGGTCGCAATGAGTACTCGCGCGGCGCCATCAAGCAGGATTTCGCTTCAGGAATCAAGGAGTGAGTTGGTTGAAAGCTTTCTTTCTTTCTTTCTAGTTCCCCATGTTATTGACTTGCGCGTATAGGCTTGATCAGGAGAACGCAGTTGAAGAGGACGAGGCAACATTTGATCCAGATCAGGATCTCCGCGACTACGATGAGGTTGCTAGAACTCTGCCAGTCTTTTGTGTCAGTAGTCGAGCATATCAGAGTCTCAGTGGTCGATTCCAGAAAGACGATATCAAAGCAAGTGAGCTTGGTTTTCCAGAGGCAAAGGATACAGAAATACCGCAGCTTCAACAACACGCCAAGAAGCTTACAGAGGCTGGACGTGCGAGCACTTGTCGGCGATTCCTCAATGACTTCAGTCAACTCACCAACTCGCTGAAACTTTGGGCATCCACTGATGGTACGCAGTCGCATCTGACGGATGCAGAAAAGCGACGCGAAGACGTGTTCTTGCGCAAGTTACTTCAAAGTCTTGAAGATGTGAGTCGAGTTTTTCAGCACTAAATATCTCCAGTCGTACTGCTAGCTGGCAGGACTTGAAGGGGGAATTCCATCTCGAACTAGTGGTTCGGATCTGATTCGCGATTGTGTGCCGGCTCTTGCTATGGGGGTTTGCCTATTCTTTCAAAGTGTCGCAGCGGCATAACAAGCTAGATAATGGTTGCTTGGAATGACACTTACACCGTCTCTAGGCATTTGAGAAAACTGTAAAGGAGTCCATGGCATCGGTCCATCAATCCTTGAATGAACACATCATTGAAACATTCAACACAGCAATCCCTAAAGCTGTTAGAGATGCCATCAATACGGCGAGCGGCTGGGGGGCTCACAGATCAATGGGCGGTCTCTTTTGGTCTACATATAAAGCCACAGTCAGGCGCCAAGGTGTTTACAGTGGTGCTTCGGGACCTCGCGATTTTAATCAAGAGCTCTTTGATCCAATATCAAAAGACCTTGCCACAGGTGAAACTCTCAATGTAGACACGATTCCCTCAAAACTATCTGCTAATGTACCAAAGGTTGGGAGAGGGCTTTTCAGCGCCGTGTTCCTCTCATTCTGGATCAATTCGCCTCAAGTGCCAAAGCCCAGCTTTCTAAATTCCACCAATCAGCGGTGGAGCGGGCTCAGCAGCGACACACAAACGTGGCAGGAGTGATGATGTTGTCCCAACAGATTCTCAACCATATCCGGACGCTCGGCGAGTTGCCTGCTACACTCAAGGCGACTATCACGGACTTGCAGCGTGAAGCGAGTCGTCAGTTTGTTCCAGTCATAATGGAAGCAATGGCCTATGCCTATCACGTCTGCAGCGAAGAAAGAGGTTAGTCTAATAATAACCAATGACACGGGCCGTCGTGCTAAGAGTATATACAGGAACTGGCAGTTACGCACGCATGAAGACGGCCATGATTGGCCATGTCGAGTTGAACAAGAACACCATGTTCGTACAAGCATGCAATACTGTTAAGACCCACTTGGATGCCATGTGCCGTACTGTGCAACGAGAGATGAATGAACACGTTGAGAACATATTTGACATGGTTTACCGTGATTACAACACTGTTTTGAGTAAGTCTATTCCTGACAACCTGCCACTGGCTCACCCTGGATGCAACCAATCTTGGTCTAGGTAGAGTGCTGACCTTTTACCCCAGTCGGAACGACAGTAGGCCGTCCCGCAAAGATCACGCCCGAAGAACGTGCCATACGCTCGCAGGTGAACTCCTCCTTGAAGAAGGCAGACACACTCTTTTGCGCACCTTTGGGAATACATGTAGATGCAGTCATGGACGATGCAGACAACCATGCTCATGGAGACTCACTCAACGATGCCATGGAAGATATGGAACAAGCCATGGTACACGAGAACCGTTCCAGACAGGAAACACCCTTGGCACCTGTCTCGGATGATGCTGAGGACTCCGATGACCCCTTCGCCTCTCCGGTGCGCTTTAAGACTGAGTTGGGAGAGGCAGCTGGAATCGAAGTGTCGGAGGAAATCGAACATCATGTGGAGGCTCCAGTTAAGTCTGAAACTTCGAGTGATGACGAGCGCGACGCGGCTAGCCAGTTGCAATTCGAGGCGCTCCAAGCAGGGCGCGTCTCGGAAACCCCGGCGGCACGTGTCCAATCCACAGACGGTTCGGCCACTCCTAGAAAACTGGCCAAGCCGAAGAAGAAGAAGACGAGCAATGATTTCCAGGATATCTTCGACATCCTCGGGGATGACTGATTAAGAGAGCCTTTGTACACAGAAGACTGGTCCTGTGCTGACGCGGGATTATGACGGAGTGGCCAGCCAAAGGTGGTCTGTATGTTTTTGATGTATCATGAACTTTTGTCCGGAGAGGGGAGATACCACTTGCTTGTATTGTATGATGTTGCCTGCCGAGGAGGATTAACCAATTCCGAGCATCCTTGGCATCTGAATTTGGCTTACCGCGGTCGGAGAAGACGTCCAACATGGACTGTGGGTGGCAAGTTCCTGACGGGGAGAATAGAAGTCGACTTTGACTAGAAGAGAAGCCTCTAATTTCCATTAATGTCAGATACATGGGCCCACCCACTCGAGACGGCAATGACTTTGGCAGCTCAATGTGACAAAATGGTATTCTGGAGAGCCCAGGCGTTGGCCAGATGCCGGATCCGACTTACATTAGGTGGATGGGTCAACAGGGGCTCGTCTATCTGTCGCTGGCTCGGCTGAAGTGGTTTCCATTTGGTCCCTAATTATTTCCAGCTCGCTTAATATGCAGACAAGTGCCGTTGCCATTATAGGAAGAACCAGGGACCAATGAGAAGGACAAATGGAGGCAAGCGGGCTATTTAACCGGCATCCTGGCCACGGCTTACTTGTAATGATGGTAGAGTGATTGAGATTATTATGGTTAACTACTGAGTAGAAAAAACCAGATTGGGACAATGTGTGCGTGTATGCCCGAACTGTTTCGTCCTGATGGATTCTTGCCTGGGGAATAATGCTACTCGGCCGCGTCACCTCGTTTGTGCTTGGCGAGATACCGGGCAATGGATGTGCTGCCATGCTTGATAAAGAGCAGCTCATGTGGGAGAAAGACAGAAGGAGAGAGACTGGTGACTTTGCCTCGTTTCCGCCTGTCTATCATCTCTGCCGTATTCTTCCTGCCGCCCACTTCTTTGCAGATTGTGTGGGTGATTTGAAGACGAGCACCAGCTAGCTGATCTCATTGACTCAGATTTTCACAAGTTGTTATTCTCAAAATAAGCTGACATTACCAGCACGGCCTGGCAACAACTTGGTCCCTTTTAGCAGTCCCCCCTCCGACCGGGCGGCCATGGCCACGAAAATGAAGCTGTGGTATGGCGTGTGCATGACGGTGGCTGTGACGACGAGTGTGGTGTCGAGTGCTAATACGCAGCCACAAGCGACAACCGACTCGAGATGTAACTGCTACCTTACCAATACTTCTTCCCACGATGTATTCAGCAGTCACAAATTTTTCGATTTTCGCAGCATGTCTAAATATGTCAATGTGCCAAAACCCCTAGAAGATCCGAGCCTGGATAGTCTGGCCAACGTGACCAGCAGCTACTTTGCAAGCCAAGAATGGAAAAAGTATTGGGAGATTCAGAGCTGGAACAACAGCGCAAGCTTGAACGACAATGGCACGGCGGGAAACGACGCGACTGTCTTGATGGTGAATTCACTCAACAATGTGTACTTTGAGGCCAACAAGGACCCTAGAGCGTCGTCACAAAGCTACCTCACTCTGCGGACGGCGCGGCACGACGGCTACCAGTCTGCGGCCGAGTTCGACTCAGTATCCGGAGACTACCACTATCTCAGCATGAGAATGCTCGCCAGGACACGTGGTGCGGCGGGTGCCGTAACGGCCATGTTTACGTACCGCGGCGGCGGCGGCGGCGGCGAGGGAGCGGCATCGGCCGTGCAAGAGGCCGACCTCGAGATCCGGACAGGCGATCCCAGCAATGTGATCCAATACACGAACCAGCCGGCATTGCACAACAGCACGGGATCGACGCGGAACATAACGCTGCCGTCTCACCTGAGCTGGAGCGACTGGCAACACCATCGCATCGACTGGACTCCGGGCTCAAGCACGTGGTTCGTCAATGGTCAATTGGTCTCGCGCATTACGTCGCAGGCACCGCGCGACCCGAGCCGCATACTGTTCAACGCCTGGAGCGATGGGGGTAGCTGGAGCGGTAACATGGCGCGCGGGTCCGAGGCATACCTCCAGATCCAGTGGATCGACATGGTTTTCAACAACACCGACACCAGCCTCGGGGCTAATCCGGCGGCCGTCCGCGGCCACTGCGCCAACGTGTGCAGCATCGACCAGACACGGACTATTGGAAGCCCGGTGCTGATTGCAAGTGATAACGGCGGAGGTCAGTACAAGGCATGATATTAGCATTTGATGAACCAGGATGAGAGAGAGAGAGAGAGAGAGAGAGAGAGAGAGAGAGAGAGAGAGAGAGAGAGAGAGAGAGAGA